GCTTCACCACCCATTTATCCCTCCGCCTTTCAACCAGCACCACATGTGATTATCGGCCAGGCTGGCACAATTAACTAACTCACTGTAGCTTTTGCAGTTAAGGAGCCGATTCTTCTATCTTTAACTTAAGTTTTCATACAAGGTTTCCACATAATAACTTGATTCCCTGGTGGACCCAAAGACTTTGGGCCTAGGTTCCTCTCTGAGGCGGGGTAGGGGGGACACCGAGATACTACTTCTAGTACTTCTCCTGCTTGGGCAACAGCAATCGTTCTCGAGCTGAGAGTCGACGATTTGGGTTAGGGTTTGCAGGTATGTAATATTGTGAGGTTGTCCAACATGTCTGTGTTTGTATTTTGATGATGCTCGCGGAGATGCTAAAGTAACGTAACCTGGGCTCATCTGGGTGAGTACCTGAAAAACCCGGGGGTGCAGTGGGTTACAAGTTGGGCTCTTAAGGGTGAGGTTGGCAGTTTGAAACCACCAGCTGCTCCATGGGGGAAAGACGAGGCTCTCCGAGACTCGCCTTTGTGAGAGTAGTCATAAAGAGGACAGACTCGGACACCCACAGGGACAAGGTCTACCCTGTGCTCCAGGGTCACCAGGAGCAGGAACTGACGGCAGTGAGTTTGGAGTTTGAATGACTACCTATCCATCCAAGTACTGCCACCCCCTTGTGGTGTTCATGTTTGTCTTCACCTTAGAACTCAGAAGTTCTCGGGTACTTGTAACTGTAATGGGCTACAGAGAAAAGGGAGTCAGGGCAGGGGGTGGGGGTGGGGTTGGGGGTGGGTGGGCTGCAGTGCTTTTGGCTGCAGACAAAACAAAAAATAAAAAACCTCCTCAAAATCAAACTCACTCCCATCGAGTTGATTCTGACCCTCCCCATAGGACAGGGCGGAACTGCTGCTGTGGGTTTCCGTGGCTGTATCTCTTTACCGCAGTAGACAGCCTTGTCTGTCTCCTGAGAAGCGGTCGGCAGTTTTAAACTGCTGATCTTCTGGTCAGAAACCCAACTCATAACCACTCCACCGCCAGGGTTCTTGTTGACGCAAAGGTTGGCTATTTCAGTCCGGGCAGAGGCATAGTGATCTCCTACTAAAATGTCCAAATTCAAAAGCCAAGCTCATTGCCATAAAGTTGATTCCAACTCATAGTGACCCTGTAGGGCGGAGTGGAACTGACCCTTCGGGTTTCTGAGACTGGAACTCTTTATAGGAGTAGACAGCCTCAGCTTCCTCCTGTGGAGCAGCCGGTGGGCTGGTACCGCTGACCGTGTGGATACAGCTCAGGGCATCGCTCACTGAGCCACCTAGCTCCTCTGCTAAAAAGTCAACCACTGAAGAGTCTGACAAAGAGCAAACTACAGTCTGTTAAAACTAAGCCAAAAGTCTTATTGAAGGGAAAAAAAATACATCACAAATTGGCAATTACAGGGTCCAGAGGATTCTGAACTAAGTGACCCAGAAGAAGAGACCGTTCAGGGAATTTTTATGAAAAACACAAGGAATTTCAATACATAGTTGAATCATATTTCAATACATAGTTGGATCATAGTTACAAAATTGGGTGTACCTGGCATGGCCGCAGGAAGGACCTGCAGGATCCTAAAGGTTTATCTTGAGTAACATCTCTTTAGTGACTGCTTCCAACCTGGTTTTCTGAACAGGGTGTATTCTTAAGCAAGCAGAACTCTTAAGCAAACAAAATCACATTTTTCTCTAAAATTGTTTACCAAGCAACTTTCTTGGTGTACTGGGGGTAGTCACAGGAGGGAGAGACTGTCTATCTTGATGTTGAAGTTAATTTTTGATCAAAGTGGAGCTCGGGCCCCAGCTCTCAGCAGAGCCACCATCACATGTAGGGAAACCTAAGTTAACTTTGAAGAGTTCTTACTCACTCCTGGGGAGCACGCTTCTTAGCTGACGACGTCAATATGGTAGTGGCACGAATCAGAATTGACCCAAGGACAGCTGGTTGGTAAGAAAGGAGTAATGGTGTACTTAATTAATACGTTAATGAAGGGGTGGTGAACCGCCACTGCTGCCCAGTACTGCATCAGTGGAGTCTTGCCAGCCTTTATTATTGAAAGACACAGTGGGAGAATTGAGTTCTCACAGTGCCTACAGCAGCAATGGAAGCTGAACTTCACAATCCATGACCTCAGCAATCCACACTTTAATAAGTCCGTGCATCAAGTAGCGATGTTCCATCATCCATTGCGTTTATATTGTTAAATTGTACGTTGCTTGTTTCTTCGTTTTATTTCTAATTAGTAAGATGGGTTTGGTTTTATATTACAGGAGAGTTGCATATATTGAGTGATTTATACCTAGTTCTGCATCTGTCCCCATGTACTCAC